AAGAGCTCTGTAATCATCTGTAAATTGCAGTGTGTATTTGGGAGCTATCCCACAATAAACATTCACTTTCTAATTTTAAACTGTTAGAGAATTTTTGGATATCAATACTAGATCAATATCCATATTGGGAATGGGATGTACCAAAGTCTTGAACATCTATTTGTATTTTGGGTATTCAGTGTACAGATTAAAGGGCTCAGTAAATTGCAGTGTGTGTTTGGGAGCTATCCCACAATAAACAAACACTTTCTAACTTTAAACTGTTAGAGAGTTTTTGGATATTGGTACTAGATCAATATCCATATTGGGAATGGCATTTACCAAAGTCATGAACATGTATTTATACTTTGGCTATTCAATGTTTGTACAGATAAAAGGACTCAGTAATCGCCTGTAAATTGTGGTGTGTGTTTGGAGTTATCCTACAATAAACATTCACTTTCTAACTCTAAACTGTTTGAGAGCTTTTGGATATCGGTACCAGATCAATATCCATGTTGGGAATGGGATGTACCAAAGTCATAAATATGCATTTGTACTTTGGGTATTCAATACTTGTACAGATAAAAGGACTCTGTAAATTGCAGTGTGTATTTGGGAGCTATCTCACAATAAACACACACTTTCTAACTCTAAACTTTTAGTTAGACAATTTTTGGATATTGGTACTAGATCAATATCCATGTTGGGAATGGGATGTATCAAAGTTATGAATATTTGTATTTTGGGTATTCAATACTTGTATAGATACAGGACTCTGTAAATTGTGGTGTGTATTTGGGACTTATTCCACAATAAACATTCACTTTCTACCTTTAAACTGTTAGAGAATTTTTGGATATCGGTACTAGATTAATATCCATATTGGAATGGGATGTACCAGAGTTATGAACATGTGTTTTGGATACTCAATATTTATACAGATAAAAGGAGTCTGTAATCATTGTAAATTGCAGTGTGTATTTGGGAGCTATCCCACAATAAACACACACTTTCTAAATCTAAATTTTTAGAGAGTTTTTGGATATTGGTACCAATATTGGGAATGGGATGTACCAAAGTTATGAACATGTATTTGTATTTTGGGTGTTCAATACTTGTACAGATAAAAGGGCTCTGTAAATTGCAGTGTGTATTTGGGAGTTATCCCACAATAAACAAACACTTTCTAACTTTAAACTGTTTGAGAGTTTTTGGATATCGATACCAGATCAATATCCATATTGGGAATGGGATGTACCAAAGTCATAAATATGTATTTGTACTTTGGGTATTCAATACTTGTACAGATAAAAGGGCTCTGTAATCACCTGTAAATCGCAGTGTGTATGTCGCAATAAACACACACCTCCTAACTCTAACTGTTCGAGGGTTTTTGTCCATCACAGCTGTGTATCAGCACTAGATCAATATCCGTATTTTTGATAAATCCCTCCCGTGTCCCCTTTCTGTCCATCAGGGTGTCTGTGGGGGTGTCCCTGCCCAGGGCGGTACTTACGCTGCACTGTCACCTGCAGCACGCAGCTCTCCTGCCCCGCCTCGTTGGTGGCCACGCACTGGTAGAGCCCCGTGCTCATCTGGGTCAGGTTCTTCAGCAGCACCTGCCCGGGGTTCGAGATGTCTGGGGGTGAAACAGCACTGGGGTTAATCAAATGGAGGGAGGAACTTCAGCTGTGGGTAGGGCAGAGAGGAGCGCATTGATCTGTGGGGTGAAATCAGCTCCAGAACAATGCCAGGGGAAAGGGCAAGGGGAAGGGGAAGGGGAAGGGGAAGGGGAAGGGGAAGGGGAAGGGAGGGAGGGAGGGAGGGAGGGAGGAGAGAGGAAGGGAGGAAGGAAGGAAGTGGCGGAAGGAAGGAAGTGGTGGAAGGAAGGAAGTGGCGGAAGGAAGGAAGTGGCGGAAGTGGCGGAAGTGGCGGAAGTGGCGGAAGTGGCGGAAGTGGCGGAAGGAAGGAAGGAAGGAAGGAAGGAAGTGGCGGAAGGAAGGAAGGAAGGAAGGAAGGAAGGAAGGAAGGAAGGAAGGAAGGAAGGAAGGAAGGAAGTGGCGGAAGGAAGTGGCGGAAGGAAGGAAGGAAGGAAGGAAGGAAGGAAGGAAGGAAGGAAGGAAGGAAGGAAGGAAGGAAGGAAGGAAGGAAGGAAGGAAGTGGCGGAAGTGGCGGAAGTGGCGGAAGTGGCGGAAGGAAGGAAGGAAGGAAGGAAGGAAGGAAGGAAGGAAGGAAGGAAGGAAGAAGAGAGGAACAAGAGAGGAAGAAGGGAGGAAATGAGGGAAAACATGGGAGAAAGAAAGGGGAAAGGAAAGGGAAAGAAGGGAGAAATAAGAGGGAAAGAAAGGAGAAAGGAGAGGGAAAGAAGGAAGAAAAAAGAAGGAGAAAAGGAAGAAAGAAAGGAGAAAGGAGGGAGGAATGAAGGAAAAAGAAGGAAGAAAGAAAGAGGAAAGAAGGAGAGTGAAAGGAGAAAGAAGGGGAAAAGAAGGAGAAAGAAGGAGGAAAGGTGTGCCAGCTCCCAGGTACAGCCGCAGCAATGTTGGAGCAATGTTGGAGCAGTGATGGAGCAGTGATGGAGCAGTGTTGGAGCAATGTTGGAGCAATGTTGGAGCGGTGTTGGAGCAGTGTTGGAGCAGTGATGGAGCAGTGTTGGAGCAATGTTGGAGCAATGTTGGAGCAGTGTTAGATCAATGTTGGAGCAATGTTGGAGCAGTGTTGGAGCAATGTTGGAGCAGTGTTAGATCAATGTTGGAGCAATGTTGGAGCAGTGTTGGAGCAGTGTTGGAGCAATGTTGGAGCAATGTTGGAGCGGTGTTGGAGCAGTGTTGGAGCAGTGATGGAGCGGTGTTGGAGCAGTGTTGGAGCAATGTTGGAGCAGTGTTGGAGCAGTGTTGGAGCAATGTTGGAGCAATGTTGGAGCGGTGTTGGAGCAGTGTTGGAGCAATGTTGGAGCAGTGTTGGAGCAGTGTTGGAGCAATGTTGGAGCAGTGTTGGAGCAGTGTTGGAGCAGTGTTGGAGCAATGTTGGAGCAGTGTTGGAGCAGTGTTGGAGCAGTGTTGGAGCAATGTTGGAGCGGTGTTGGAGCAGTGTTGGAGCAGCATCCCCCCCGTGATCCCCGCACTCCAGGGAAGCCCAGCCCGCACTCACTGACTCTGGAGCTGGGCGGCAGCGGCTCGGCTCTCTCGTCCTCCTCGCTGAGGCGCTGCCAGCGGTACGAGATGGGGGCCGTGCCCGAGGCCGAGCGGCACTGCAGCGACAGCTCCTTCCCCTCCAGCAGCTCCCCCTCCAGCCAGCACTTGGGCTTGGAGGGCTTCTCTGCAAGGAGAGCACAGGTCATGGCATCACAGCAGAGTTTGCTCTCTGGAAACCCAATCTTGAGGTGTCTTTGGCTAGGCAGAAACCTGAAAATGTAATCAGGTGGGAACCTTGATAATTTCATGGTGGAGCCATTGCGCATGAGATGATCTTAGGAATTTTTTGAGAGTTCAGTACTTGTCACAGTTTAGTGCTATTACACCAACCTCAAGTCCCTTAGGCTCTTCCTGTGGCCGAAAAATGCACAGGCAGATATAAAGCTGAGGAATAAAACCCAATCTTGAGATGTCTTTGTGCTAGGCAAGAACCTAGAGACTAATCAGGTGGGAACCTTGATATTTTCATGGTGGAGCCATTGTGCATGAGATGATCCTTATGAAACTGTTTTAGAGTTCAGTACTTAGTTCAGTACTATCACACCTCAGACCAGTCCTTTAGGCCCTTCCTGTGGCCAAAAACACAAATGTAGATTTAAAGTTGAGCACTAAAACCCAGTGTTGAGGTTTCTTTGTGCTAGGGAGAAACCTAAAAACGTAATCAGATGGGAACCTTGATAATCTCATGATGGAGCCATTGTGCATCAGCTGATTGTTATGAATTTGTTTTAGGGTTCAGTACTATCACACCTCAGACCAGTTCTTTAGGCTCTTCCTGTGGCCAAAAACACAAAGGTAGATTTAAAGTTGAGCACTAAAACCCAGTGTTGAGGTGTCTTTGTGCTAGGCAGAAACCCAAAAATGTAATCAGGTGGGAACCTTGATAATTTCATGGTGGAGCCATTGTGCATGAGATGATCTTAGGAATTTTTTGAGAGTTCAGTACTTATCACAGTTTGGTACTATCACACCAACCTCAAGTCCCTTAGGGTCTTCCTGTGGCCGAAAAATGCAAAGGAAGATTTAAAGTTGAGCACTAAAACCTGATCTTGAGGTGTCTGTGCTGGGCAGAAACCTACTAGAGATGTAATCAGGTGGGAACCTTGATATTTTAATGAGGGAGCCATTGTGCATGAGCTGATCGTTATGAATTTGTTTTAGGGTTCAGCATAGTTCAGTACACCAACCTCAGACCAGTTCTTTAAAACCCAGTCTTGAGGTGTCTTTGTGCTAGGCAGGAATCTACTAGAAGATATGCAATCAGATGGGAACCTTGATGGAGCCATTGTGCATGAGATGATCGTCATTAATTTTTTTGAGGGTTCAGTACTTAGATCAGTGCTATTACAGCAACCTCAAACCAATTCTTTAGGCTCTTCTTGTGGCCAAAAACACAAAGGAAGATTTAAAATTGAGCACTAAAACCCAGTCTTGAGGTGTCTGTGCTAGGCAGAAACCTACTAGAGAGGTAATCAGATGGTGATCTTGATATTTTCATGATGGAGCCATTGAGCATGAGTTGATCTTATGAATTTTTTGAGGTATCACACTTCAGTGCTATCACGCCAACCTCAAATTCCTTCGGCTCTTCCTGTGGCCAAAAAATGCGAAGGAAGATTTAAAGTTGGGCACTGAAACCCAATCTTGAGGTGTCTCTGTGTATTTCTACCCTGCTGAAACCAATCTCTCCCCAGGAAGTGAGTCTGGATTTCTTATTTCCCCTTTGTGAGCACAAGGAGCTGCCCTTACCCACGACCTTGAGGGTGATGCGAGCCCACTCGTACTGGCCGGCGTTCTTGACCTTGCAGATGTATTTCCCCGCGTCGCTGGACTGCAGGGAGATGATTTGCAGGGATGCATCTCCAGCAAGGAAGTTGGAGGTGAAGGACACACGGCCCTTCTGCTCCTCGTTCAGGTCATCATAAACCCGGCCCCCGGAGTAGGTGATCACCTGGGAGCAGAGCAGACATTGAGTTGTTGTTTTATTTTCATAAGGAATAACAAATCTGAGCGTTTCCAGGAGCTGCACATCCCATGGCTTGTCAGGAATCACACAGGAGGCATGAGGCAGGGTGGGGAAGCAAACCTGGGTTTCCACCCTGAGAATGGTGCAAAAAGCGCATTTATTTCTGCTGGAGGTTGATATTGGGCACTGTACAAGTGTGGAAACAGGCATCAGTTTGTGCCACAACGCATCAAAGCAGTCTGGAGATTTGGCTGTGCTGATTTAAGTCCCTGCAGATCTCATTTTTCTCATTTTTATCGGGACTAAACTATTGTGTGTTGTACTAAACCAAAGATTCAAAAACTGGGCCTGCAAAATCCAAGGTTATTTTGAAAGCCTGAAGGGCACTTCTGAACCTGATTTAATGAGGACTGACTACATTTAAGCAAAAAAAAATCCATTGTAACCCGACCTGGTCCACGTTGGATATCAAATAACTTTTCCACATTCTAAAATCTAAAAATTTAAAGTCTTTAAGTCAGCTCTGTTTTCCAAACATCATCAGAACAAGCTGCAGAGATCATCACAGCAGTGCTGCGAAATGGCGGCCTGGTGGCGTGAGGGCAGAAATAAAGTGATTTTCTCAGCAGACCCACCGCTTTCTACCCTGAGAATGGTGCAAAAAGTGCATTTATTTCTGCTGGAGGTTTCTATTGGGCAGAAATAAATCGGTTTTCTGAGCAGACCCACCGCTTCCTGCCCTGAGAATGGTGCAAAAAGCGCGGTTATTTCTGCTGCAGGTCTACATTGGGCAGGAATAAAGTGATTTTCCGAGCAGACCCACCGCTTTCTGCACGGTCTCGGAGATGTGCAGCAGCCACTCGATGTCCAGGCTGCCCTGCTCCAGCAGCCCCAGGCGGTGGTGGCAGGGCAGGGTCACGTTCTCCTCCGCCACCCTCTTGAACTCGGTCTGGGCCTCGCCAAGCCAAACGGAACAGGAAGCTGGAGGAGAAATTGCAAATTTCCGTTAATTTCAAATTTCAAATTTCAAATTTCAAATTCCAAATTTCAAATTCCAAATTTCAAATTTCAAATTTCAGTCTTCAGATTGGTCAGATGTCGGAACCCAGGGAATCCCTCAGGCTGCCCTGAAGGGCTCAAGACAAGCCAAGGGGCTCCAAGACCTTGGCATGAAACCCAAGCCCCCTGTGCCTTTGATTGAGCCCTTGGAAAAAATAATTATCAACCTTTATATGGAGAATTCCAAGTCAAGAAATTTAAGTAGAATAATAGTTAGTTTGTCACGGGGTGATAAATAGATTTTTTGGGGTTTTGAGGATGGAGGCTTGGGACAAGCAGCCTCAATTTAACACCATAAAAGGATATGGAAATGCTTCAAAATACCGTATATCAGAAATATATATGTCAGAAACATTATGTATGTCTGAAATATATATATATATATCAGAAATATTATACATATCAGAAATATGCATGTCAGAAGTAAATATATCAGAAATATATATATCTATATATATATATATATCAGTAAATACCAGAAATATTATGCCTATCAGAAATATTATGTTTATCAGAAATATATATACCAGAAGTATTATACATAGCAGAAAGATATATATGTCAGAAATATGTATATCAGAAATAAATATATCAGAATTATTATGCATATTAGAAATAGCTATATGTCAGAAATATTAGGTTTGTCAGAATTATTATGCATATCAGAAATATATATATATATCAGAAATATTATGTATATCAGAAATGCATATATCCGAAAGATATATATGTCAGAAATATATATAAGAAATGTTATGTATATCAGAAATATTATGCATATCAGAAAGATATTCATTAGAAATATTATGTATTCAGAGAGATATCTATATCAGAAATATTATTTATATCAGAAATATATGTCAGAAATATTATGTTTATCAGAAATACTGTGTATAAGAAATATTGTATATATCAGAAATATATATCAGAAATACTATGTATATCAGAAAGATATATATGTCAGAAATGTATGTCAGAAATATTATGTATATCAGAAATACATATATCAGAAAGATGTATATAAGAAATATTATGCATATCCGAAAGATATTTATTAGAAATATTATGTATTCAGAAAGATATCTATATCAGAAATATTATTTATATCAGAAATAGATATATATCAGAAATATTCTGCATATCAGAAATAAGAAACCAGCCTTTCAAGAAGAGGGTTAAACTTAAGAAAAGCGTGAAGTAAGTAGGATTGGGAACTAACTTTGAATAGCAGCGCCAAAACCAAACCCTGTGAGTTTTTTTGCTCTGTCAGGATGCAAAACAGAAATAAAAAGGGAAGCGCCGAGCGCAGCCGCTAGAGGGAAGCAGAGCCCGCGGAATGTGAGATAAATCCCTCAAAAGGGCCCTGGAGGCCCTAAAAGCTGCTGGGAAATGGGATTTTCGGCTGCTGGGAAATGGGATTTTCAGCCAGCCCTGCCTCAGGCACTGCCTGATGGAGATTTTGTTCTGCATCCACTGAAATCTGCACAAAAATCCAACATAAATACCTGGCTTTGCTCATCTCCGACTTGTAAACGTGGACTCGGCAGGGGAAGTTCAAACTCAGTTAAAAATGATCCAAAAGATCAGAGGGAGGGAAGGTTCCAGGCCTTGGGGTCAAAATCAAAAATTCCCCACCCAAATTTCACCACTGCCGTTTGTGGGGTGCAAATCTGTGGGAGATTCTTGGGGTTTAAATCTTCTCTTAAAAGAGACCCAAAAGATCAGAGGAAGGGAAGGTTAAAGGCCTTGGGGTCAGAATCAAAAATTCCCCACCCAAATTTCCCTGGGGCACCACTGCTGTTTGTGGGGTGCAAATCTGTGGGAGATTCTCGGGGTTTGAATCTTCTGTTAAAAGTGACCCAAAAGATCAGAGGGAGGGAAGGTTCCAGGCCTTGGAGTCAACATCAAAAATTCCCCACCCAAATTTCCCCACTGCCGTTTGTGGGGTGCAGATCTTTGGGAGATTCTCGGGGTTTGAATCTTCTGTTAAAAGTGACCCAAAATACCAGAGGGAGGGAAGGTTAAAGGCATTGGAGTCAGAATCAAAAATTCCCCACCCAAATTTCCCTGGGATGTAAATCTTTGGGAGATTCTTGGGGTGCAAAGATTCTTTCCGCTGCCGTTTGTGGGGTGCAGATCTGTGGGAGATTCTTGGGGTTTGAATCTTCTCTTGAGTTGTTCTGCACTTTTGCTGTTCAAAACAAAACCCTAAAACTGTTTCTTTTTTTCCCTGTGAAACGAAGTGGGAGGAAATATTTTGCTTCCTGGGCCAAATATTGCGAAAGTGCAGAAAATTGGGGAAGTTCAGAGCGCTGGGAAGTCCCACGTGTGGCTGGGCACACAATCCTGGAGGACAGAGCAGCAGCACGAGAGGTTCCAGTTACTCAGGCTGGATTTATTCCTGGTTTTTTAACATTATTATATACTATTGATATACTTTTGATATCTTTTGATATACTTTTGATATCTTTTGATATACTTTTGATATACTTGGGAGGACAGAGCAGGAGCACAAGAGATTCCAATTACCCAGGCTGGATTAATTCCCATATTTTTAATATTATTATTTTAATGATATTATATTATTAGTATTTATTCCTATATTTTTCATATTCTTTACTCCTATATTTTTAATATTATACCTTTGATATACTTTTTAATATTATACTTATGATACACTTTTGATATACTTGGGAGAACAGAGCAACAGCACAAGAGGTTCCAATTACTCAAGCTGGATTTATTCCCATATTTTTAATATTATTATTTTAATAATATTGTACTATTAGTATTTATTCCTATTATTTTTAATATAATAATAATATTAATATAATAATTGACATATTATTATATTTTTAATAAAAAGTATTAATATTTTTAATAACTATTGATATAGTTTTGATATACTTGGGAGAACAGAGCAACAGCACAAGAGGTTCCAATTACTCAAGCTGGATTTATTCCTATATTTTTAATATTGTTATTTTAATAATATTGTATTATTAGTACTTATTCCTATTATTTTAATATTATAATAATATTAATATAATAATTGATGCATTACTATATTTTTAATAAAAATATATTAATATTGTTAATAACTATTGATATAGTTTTGATATACTTGGGAGGACAGAGCAACGGCACAAGAGGTTCCAATTACTCAGGCCGGATTTATTCCTGTATTTTTAATATTATTATTTTAATAGCATTGTATTATTAGTATTTATTCCTATTGTTTTAATATTATAATATTTTAATATTATTAATATAATAATGGATTTCTTCCCATATTTAAAAACATATTAATATTTTTAATAACTATTGATATACTTTTGATATACTTGGCAGGACAGAGCAATGGCACAAGAGGTTCCAATTACTCAGGCTGGATTTATTCCTGTATTTTTAATATTATTATGTACTATTTATATACTTGTATGCTATTTAAACATATAAATGTTTAAATAGGAATGTTTAAATAGAAGGAGCTTTCACTGAACCTTCAAATGAAAACCAGGCAGAAAATTAACGCCCAACACGACTCTCCCTCATTTTTCCCATTTCTTCAGGACGAAATTTTAGAAAATCCCTTTCTGCTCCCATTCTCAGCTCTGCCTTGAGTTACCACAACCATCCCTCAGCTGCTGAGATTTGGAGATTCAATTTCTCCTTCCCAAACACTTTATCAAGAATTACCATCCCCTCCATTAAATATCCAGAATTTTAGGACAGGTTCAGCCTTCAGCTCTCTCCCAGTGAAAGCTCCTGCCCAGCCACATCAGCTGCTTGCTTAAAAGGGAAAATTAATCCAGTTTATCGCTGGATTCGCTGCTCTCCGAGCTCCATCTGCCAAACACGATTAGAATTCCTGCCCAGGATGGATCCAGCTTTTCCCTGGAGCTCTCCTTGCTGCCCTCATTAGCGCCCCACTGCCTCATCACTGATCAATAATCTTAATTATGGCGCCACAACCGCGACATTCGCGACTTTTTCCAAGCCCTGGGGAGCTCTGAGGGTTCCTGCACAACCTCGCAGGTGTTTTGTGTTTTTAAACTTTATCCTGCTACACGTTTTCCATAAAAAAATTATCATTTTCTGCGAGATTATGGCAGAGTTTTCGTTCTTTTCTGGTTTAAACCTGCTGGGTTTAGCAAAGCTCGCACCTTAGAGGGATTTTTGGTGCTCCCAGGAAATATTCTGTGGGTTTGAGGAAGTTTATGATGAATTTATAAACTCATCATCTAAATGGGGAGAAAAACCAAGGAGACACCCAATGGAATAGTGACAAATTCCTACAGCACCCTTTATTTTTTCGAAGAAATCAGAAATAATTTGGAGCTGATTCATCACTGACCCAATAACCAAACTCACACACTGTGCAAACGTTTCCATAACATTATTAAGAAAAAAAATCTTATTTTAACTCCCCTTGTCTCTTTAATCCTCGTTAATGCTTTAAACTCCCACAGGAGTTTAAATTTTGCAGATTCTTTAGACAGGAGCCTCCCTTTATTTCCCTCCAGTTCCATATGCCGAAAGGAAAATAAAACAGCTTCTTAAAAGAGCCAGGTAGAGAAATTACCCACAAAAAAATCCCAAAAGACCTCAACATGAACAAATCTCACATTTTCCACAGTTTGGGTAAGGTTTTACTGCATCAAACAGGGATGAAATTGTGATTTAGGTGCAGAAATATGGAAGAATTTATGGCACAGGAGAGAAAAAGGAGCCAGAAATAAATGCAGGTCCCTTCTAGGTTTTATTATCCAAAGAAGAACAAACACTCCCTGAAATTTGTGTAGGTGAGACCTTGCAAGGAAAGTCCAAATAAATCAGATTTTTAATAGATAAATAAGGTTTAAACCATTTTGATGGTTAAAAGTTGAAGTAAATGAGATTTTTAATAGATAAATAAGGTT